CCACATACAGCATTACTGCTCTGTAAAGCCCACACAGGTAGACACCATTTTAAAAACTGTTTACTGCTCAGTAAGTCACTGTACAGTAATTTACTGCACAGTAAATGCTTATGTAGACACGCCCATAGACTTGCACAGGGATCAGTTATATCTATCATACCTTAAAGGAAGAAGTTGCAGCAAAAGGCATCCAAAGTCCCATTCTTTGTGAAGCTTCATGCCTACTGTGCTATATGAGAACAGATGGCATCTCTTTCAAAAATATAAGCAGCTTCTTAGATCAAATGGACAAGGGTGTATACAGAATCCAGCACATGAACTTGCACCAAGCGTATAAATTGGAAGTAGCCTAAATTACTGTGATGTTAACTGATATCACAGGAGAATACAATCTAGTGACTTAGTGCTGGAGAATAATGGAGATCAGACTGACGCTTACACAGTATCCCTCAAGAATGTCAAGAAACTTGAAGCATGAAGAATCCTGTCTAATGACCTATGTGCATGTACAAGGCATGCAGCATTTCTGATTAACAAACTATATACCCTTTTCTAAAAATCCACCCTTTTATTTTGCTGATATTTAGTTTTCTTAATGTTTTAACTTGTGTTACAAAAAGAGAGCTTAAAAATGCCATTGAACAGAGGGAGGTAGTTAGCGACCTCTACTCTGTCTTTGCCTAACTGCTGAAGTTGACACTGAATCAGATCCATGGGTTTGAGAGCAGATATGCTATAAATGCAATTATGGTATTAGTACTGGCTTCCTCTTTTCTCGGTATTTGTTGAGTTTTTTATGTAATGCTTATTTGTACCCACTATCTCTTCCCTTATATTGGAAGAATACTTTTAATGCATTAAAAATATACATGGAGGTAGCAAAATAATACAAAAATAAGGTCTTGTGCTAATTAAATAAATAGCATTTTGTGTGCAAGAAGACCAGGGATGTGGAGACATGTAGAAAGCCAGCAGGAAGAACTCATTGCTAGGATCTGTAGATGCACTGCATCTAACACCAAAGCGTTTTTCAGAACTGTGGATAAGGATGTCAGAGGTTAACCTAATCTCTTGAAATTTTTTAAACATCTTGTTCTGACCATTTCAGGAGACTGCATGTTGATGTAGATGAACCTTGGATCTGATCCAATATGCCACTCTTGTTCTGAGAGAGGTACTTAACTATGGTATCTGAAATCAGGCAAAAGGCAGGGTAGATATGCACCTGATAGACTAACTAAAGAAGCTATATATAGAGCATAAGCTTTCATGAACTCAAGCTCACTTCATCAGATGTTGACCGATCCCTGTTTTATTTCATCAGCTCTGGAACAAATGTGCCTTTCAATTCCTTGAATTGGTTGCTTGGGAGCTCCCATCAACTGTTACAATATAACTGTTCCATCTATGTGATCCTGCAGCTATAAAAGTGAGCTAAATGCATTAACTTTTAACTCTGAATGAAAAAAAGTTGCAACAGTTTTTTCTGCACTTGTATTGGCACAGAAGAATGTAGATGTAATAGTTGCCATGTAACAGCTTACATTGGTGCCCTATGATAATGTAAAATTGTTGCATCTGTACCTACCCATCTTTAACAAAGTTGTAGCAAGATGATTCTACTTATTCTAGCAAAAAGTATGACATCATATTGCTTATCAATTCCACTCTAACAAATTGGTAAAAGGTACCCATAGTTTATATGGCTCTAGCCCTGAGAAATCTTATTCTCTATATAGAAATTGTCATAGTAGAGTAAAATATGTTACCTTCCAATGTGTTTCTGAAGCTGAAATTAGCCAATTTATCCATGGACCCAGATTCATACTGAGTCAGGCTTAAACAAAATTCAACTTCAGCCGAAGAAGGGAGCCTAGGAGTCCTTGTTTTATCATGGTTACCAGGATTTCGAAGTATAGGCCCTTCATTGGTGGCATTGCATAAAGCCCGCTGGCTGTTGTACTCTTCTGATTGGCTGCAGATTACCTGTGTAAAATATATTCTATTAGTACTGATGTCTTTGTTACAAAGATAAAATAAAAACTGTTGTACCTTTAAGAATGGGTCCTTTGACCTGTTAAAACCAGTGCAGCAAAGGCAAATGTGATAGGTCCTGTGTAAGAAAAGATGTTGATGCACCGAGTCCCGTGCCAGCTGACAAAGTCAAGCCAACCAGGAGG